CACCAATAACAGACTTAAAGAAAGCCAAATCAAGAGCGAACTGCCATTCGCAATTGCTACAAAAAGAATAAAATACCTTGGAATACAACTCACAAGGAACGTAAGAGACCTCTTCAAGGAGAACTACAAACCACTGCTCAACGAAATCAGAGAGGACACAAACAGATGGAGAAACATTCCATGTTCATGGTTAGGAAGAATTAATATCGTGAAAATGGCTATACTGCCCAAAGTAATTTACAGAATCAACGCTATCCCCATCAAGCTACCATTGACTTTCTTCACAGAACTGGAAAAAACCACCATGAACTTCATATGGAACCAAAAGAGAGCCCGCATAGCCAAGTCAATTCTAAGCAAAAAGAACACAGCGGGGGGCATCACACTACCGGATTTCAAGCTATACTACAAGGCTACAGTAATCAAAACAGCATGGTACTGGTACCAAAACAGAGATATAGACCAATGGAACAAAACAGAGGCACTGGAGGCAACACAACATACATACAACTATACAATCTTTGATAAACCTGACGAAAACAAGCAATGGGGAAAGGATTCCATGTTTAACAAATGGTGTTGGGAAAACTGGCTAGCCATGTGCAGAAAGCAGAAACTGGACCCCTTCCTGACACCTTACACTAAAATTAACTCCAGATGGATTAAAGACTTAAACATAAGACCTGGCACCATAAAAACCCTAGAAGAAAATCTAGGCAAAACTATCCAGGACATAGGAGTAGGCAAGGACTTCATGAACAAAACACCAAAAGCATTCGCAACAAAAGCCAAAATAGACAAATGGGACCTAATGAAACTCCACAGCTTCTGCACGGCAAAAGAAACAGTCGCTAGAGTGGATCGGCAACCAACAGAATGGGAAAAAATTTTTGCAGTTTACCCATCTGACAAAGGGCTGATATCCAGAATTTACAAAGAACTCAAACAGATTTACAGAAAAAAAACAAACAAGCCCATTCAAAAGTGGGCAAAGAATATGAACAGATACTTTACGAAAGAAGACATATATGAGGCCAACAATCATATGAAAAAATGCTCATCGTCACTGATCATCAGAGAGATGCAAATCAAAACCACATTGAGATACCATCTCACGCCAGTTAGAATGGCGATCATTAAAAAATCTGGAGACAACAGATGCTGGAGAGGATGTGAAGAAAAAGGAACACTTTTACACTGTTGGTGGGAGTGTAAATTAGTTCAACCATTGTGGAAGACAGTGTGGCGATTCCTCAAGGCCTTAGAAATAGAAATTCCACTTGACCCAGCAATCCCATTACTGGGTATATATCCAAAAGACTATAAATCGTTCTACTATAAGGACACATGTACACGAATGTTCATTGCAGCACTGTTTACAATAGCAAAGACCTGGAATCAACCCAAATGCCCATTGATAATAGACTGGATTGGAAAAATGTGGCACATATACACCATGGAATATTATGCAGCAATCAGAAATGATGAGTTTGTGTCGTTTGTAGGGACATGGATGAATCTGGAGAACATCATCCTCAGCAAACTGACACAAGAACAGAAAATGAAACACCGCATATTCTCACTCATAGGTGGGTGATGAAAAATGAGAACACATGGACACAGAAAGGGGAGTACTAAACACTGGGGTCTATTGGGGGGAAAAGGGGAGGGCCAGTGGGAGGGGGTGGTGGGGAGGGATAGGCTGGGGAGAAAAGCCAAATGTGGGTGAAGGGGAGAAGAAAAGAAAGCACACTGCCATGTGTGTACCTACGCAACTGTCTTGCATGCTCTGCTCATGTACCCCAAAACCTATAATCCAATAAAAAATTAAAAAAAAAAAAAAAAAAAAAAAAAAAAAGCAAATAAAACTTAATGGACATTTCTGTTTAAAAAAAAAAAAAAAAAAAAGATAATATTAAAAGAATGTCATACAACCCACATAAAATATTCATCTCTCTTAAAGAAAAGGCCTCTGTGAGATACAAAAACAAAGTTGTTTAAAATACGATATATGAAGGTACTCACCAAATAAAGAAAATCTGGCATTAATGTGGCTTCATTAGCACATGAGTAGTTGAGGCTCAAAAATGGAAATGGATTCCTGGGCGTGCATGGCCCTTTTGTTCAAGTCAGGATAAGCAACAGAAAAGAGTGAACAATTCTTCGAAAACGCTGAAGAAAAGAAAAATGGCTTTCCCTTGACCAATTTCCAATGATTAACACTGTGTTTTTTCATTAAATGGGAATAAGTAAAGCTCTGAGGACCTCAGGACCCACAAGATAACTAAAACGCAGCAGGTTTTAGCCAAAACTACAGACTGCCTCCCCTATGATATATCTTCAAATATCTGCTTTCTGTAATTTCTAATGAAAACTCTTAATGTCTTAAGTTTTAAATGTCATATTTTTCATTAACATTGAAATATACATTTTAAGAAGGCAAAAGAGCACAGTGGCTAAAAGTTCAGGCCCAGCTGCTCACCTATAAACAGGAAATTTAATTTCTCACCATAAATAGGAAAAAATGCATCAATTACTATTATCATATGGTATAGGAATTTCCGTTTTAATAATCAAAAAGAAGAAAAAGTGTTTCCTCTCCTTAAACATGACCTTTCCAGAACAGTCTAAGCCATTTAACACGGGAGCAGGAAAATACATCAGCTTAATCTTTCCTAGCTTCCACTACTCTGTTTATAATCTAAAACCAGTTTTTAAAAACGTATAGGTCACTGCTTATATTAAACTGACAAAATATGAAATTAAACAGTTCTTATCAATAGTGATCTCCTATTATATTGTCAGAGATGGAATCCAAATCACAGCTCAAGCTTTTAATCAAATTGACAATTACAATGCAAATACCCAGGCTCTGGTGTCTTAAGAAAAGGGAGTGGGAAGCAATCTTCCTCTCCCCTCTTTCTTTGTAATTTTGTGCATTCTGCAAAGAGAGAAGAAAATAAGTACAGAAAATTTCTCTAATTTTCCCTTGCAGAAAAGAACAATTGTCTCTTTAGTACTATTTTTATGCTCACCAGATGTAATTTGCTTTGAGAACAAATGTATAAAAATCAAGGTTAAGAAAAAAAAGCCTACCCACATGCTGTATCTAATTATTCAACAACATAGCCTCTTCAAAGTAATTACCAACTTACAAGGGTATGCCTTCTTCTGTGAAATGGAAGGAAATGGAATTTCAGAAAACAAAAGCAGATTTTTCTATCAGCTTACACTAAATTTTAGTGTAGCAATTTTTATTCCTAATTCTCAATTAACAGTGAAAAAAACTTTTAAAAAATCTGTCAATTTATAAAGGTTAATAATCTATAAGCACATGTAAGTGTATTTTTAGAATTCTTAGAAAAATCATTTCATAAATGAAAAGAATTTCCATTTGATTTGAATCTTTTGGGTTTCTTGTTTCTACTTTTTATATTTTATATACAGACCAAAGAAACATTTAAAAGGAATTTCAACAAATTAATTTTTCTAAAATGACAGTAACAAAATATAACCAATATAATAAAATAAGAATCCATAAGTGCACACAACAAGAAGTTCTTTCTTACAGTAGTATTTTATAAATGTAGAAGGAATAATACAATTTTTTTAAATCACTATCTGGCACTACTTATAGTAGTAATTGTTTCAGATGAGTCAATAATAGATGCTAAAATTAGTGAACGAATGTATGCTAGAAACAGGATATGTTCAAGTCCCAAAGAGCTGCCCTATAAAATAAATAATTTAAAAAGAATAATTGTAACTTTACAGTGGATAAACCCACCTGGTAGGCAACACCATAACCAAGTGCTCGGTCTTTACCAGTAACGTAACAAACTAACATTATGTGACTCCTGATATGATACTATGGGAAGGATATAACTCCAATTATCTGAATTTCAAGCCAAAAGTCCATACCTGAATGATTCTAGTCATGAAGAAACATCAAGAAACCCAAAATGAAAGCCATTCTACAAAACAAATTGTTCGTACCCTGAGAAGTCATCACTCATGATGACTAAAAACCTGTTCCAGATTAAAGGGAACTAAAGAGACATGACAGCTAAATGCTATGTGTGAACCTATATTTTATCCTGGACCAGGAAAGGACACATTATAGTAGCAAAATTTGAATAAAACCTATAGATTAAACCATAGTATTTTATTTATTTGAATTTCCTAATTTTGATTGTTGTATTGTGACTATAAAAGAAAACATACATATCAAATTATTTAGATGAAAAATGATTTTTTAATCAAACGATAGACAAGTATTTATATCGTGTCTGCAAACTGAAAATATTTCACAAAAAAATTACATATATGTGGATGTATCTAGAATAAATGACAAAGCAAGTCTGGTGAAATATGAATAAGGGAATCTAAGTAAAGGTTATACAGAAATTCTTTATTCTAAATTTTCAACTTTATCTACGTCTGAAGTTTCAAATTAAAAAGAGTACCTAAAGTGTAACTATTCTCCATTTTGAACTGGTTTGATAAAAACCTAATTCAAGAGTTGTAACACTTTTTCTGTAAAGGGCCAAACTGCTAATACTTTAAACTTGTGGGCCATATTTACTTGTGGGCTACAACTACTCAACTCTGGCCCAGTCTATGCCCAGAAAAATTAATCATAATAATTATACTTTCAGTTAACATTTTCTGAGCTTATGACAGACAGTATATTAAGTGCTTTACTACCATTATTCATTTATTCTTGCACTAATCTAATGAGGTGGATACTATTATTATTTCCATTTTCCACAGACAAAACTAGCACTTAGAGAAGTTAAGAAACTTGCCTAATTAAGGTCACATGGAGAGCGAGTATGAAACCAGGGAGGTCTGATTCTATATACTGAACTATAACCAATGTTATATTAATACTTCTCAGATGTGTTGAATTATACTGTCACATGCAATAACCATTTTAACATGGCTAAATAAATATCCAAATTCAGGATTTACATCCCATGAAAGCGTTTTTCACAAACCTCCTGTAGCTGCAGGGACATGAATCCCAGTTGATCTTGGCGTCTTTCCACCATCTCCCTCTCTGTACGCATCTCTCTCTCTAGTTCCTGAAGCCGCCGCTCCACCCGATCTGAAACCTTAATAAGAAAAACAGTAGCATTTTTAGAACTCAGAGAAACAGTAGCATTATAGAATGAGGAAGCAAAAACAGACTAAATTGAGAAGACAGTTTTATACCAGATACACTACTGTTTAAAGCATTTAAGACTGTTTTGTTTGCAAGGCCCTTTCTAATAACACTAACATGAAATAGCTGGCAAAAAGCATACTCAAAGTTACAAAAAAAAGTCATCATTGCTGTCCAAATAATCTACATTTGGATCCCAATAATTGCCTCAAGTGCTCTGAAGTATGATATAATTCAGTTGATCGGAGTTACAAGTAATACACTAGAAAATGGTGCCCTCTGGTGAGTTAGAATGTAAATACCAATTTTGCTAAAAATTGTTATTTGTTAGCCAATTAATGATAAATGGTTCTATCTAATTAGTTCTTTTCTATTTTATTATGCATGAGCATGACCTGCATATGAAGGCATTGATGTTTATTTGTAGGAAATAATTAAGAGGGCTTTACATTAGCTTGTGAATCTTTTCTACCGTGATCTCCTAAAAATAAACAAGCTTTTATAAAAGATCAAAAACTAAAGTCAAACTGAAAAAATGTTTAATTTGAACTCACTAAAATAAGCCTGAAAGAATTTTTCTTTCTGACACAAAATTTCCCTTACTAAGAGTTGCATAAATTCAAACACATCTCATGTACATCATTACACGCCCACTAAGTAAAATTTACAACGTCTATATTTGGTACAGGAGGACAGGGAAGACATTTGTATTCATATAAGAGAAGCAATAAACAGTTCCATTATAAGAAATCTTTCATCACCAATTATTTATATGACAAAGAGTCAAGGAAAGTCCTGACAAGGAATGTTACTGGGGTCGTACAAATGTTCTAAACTGAATTATGGAGGTGGCTGGATAACTCAGTAAATGTACAGGAAAAAAAGTCATTAAATTGTACACTTAAAGCATTAATTTTATGGTATATTACAGCTCAATAAAGATTTTTAAAAAATAAACACAAGTTTACTTAGGCAGAGCAAAAGTTTAGTTTACCCTGAACAGCAGGGATTTTAACTGCAAAAGCTTACTTTTAAGTGGATTTTTTTCTGCCTCTACCACTGCTGAGACAGAAAGACCAATTCTTCCTCAGCCTACTCAACATGAAGGATGAAGACATTTATGATGATCAACTTCCATTTAATAAATGATAAAAGCATTTTCTCTTCCTTATAATTTTCTTAAAGACACTGTTTCTTTACTTTATTGTAAGAATACAATATATAACACATATACAAAATATGTGTTAATCTATGATGCTATTGTCAAGGCTTCCTGTCAATAGTAGGCTATTAGTAGTTAAGTTTTCGGGGAGCCCAGATTTACACTGTATCCCCAGACTCTGCCTTCAAATAGCTATCTACTGAAGATTGACAATGAATAAGCAGTTAAAATTTCTCCGATTAAATTCAATGAGTTGAATGACTTCTACATTTTAGAAAAGAAGGCTGGTCTTATCAGAATCCTATCAAAAGTAAAGCAGTCCAAATAACCACATACTGAAATCAATATCCAAAATTATTTAAACATCAGCAACTTTGCCACCATTAGCTAATACACGTGACAATACAGAGTTACTATATTTGGAAGATTGCTTCTCGATTTATTTTTTTTTTTTTTTGAGACAGTCTCACTGTCATCCAGGCTGGAATGGAGTGGCGTGATCTCAGCTCACTGCAACCCTCCCCTCCCAAGTTCAAGTGATTTTCCTGCCTCAGTCTTCCTAGTAGCTGGGATTACAGATACCTGCTACCATGCCTGGCTTATTTTTGTATTTTTAGGAGAGATGTGGTTTCACCATGTTTGCCAGGCTGGTCTTGAACTCCTGATCTCAAGCAATCCGCCCGCCTCGACCTCCCAAAGTGCAGGGATTATAGGCATGAGCCACCATGCCCAGCCTTCAATTCCTTCTAAGTAAGAGTTTTATTCAAACATAATTTCATGTGTTAATATACATATATATTGTGAAATAATAACTATAGTAAAGCTAATTCACATACCTATCACTTTACTTAGCTAACATTAGTTTTGCGAATACTATAGTCATCATTCTGTACATTAGCTCTCTAGAACTTATTCATCCTATATAAAGGAAACTTTGTACCCTTTGACCTATATAACCCCATTTTTCTGACCCTTCCCCAACCCTGTCCTGCCTCTATGAACTAGACTTTTTAGAGTTCACATATGAGATAATGCAGTATGTATGTATGTATGTATGTATGTATGTATGTATGTATGTATGTATTTATTTATTTATTTATTTGAGATGGAGTCTTGTTCTATTGCCCTGGAGGGAGTGCAGTGGCACACTGCAACCTCTGCCTCCCAAGTTCAAGCGATTCTCCTGCCTCAGCCTACTGAACAGCTGAGGCTACAGGCATGTGCCACCACGCCTAGCTAATTTTTGTATTTTTAGTAGAGACAGGGTTTCACCATGTTGACCAGTAGTGTCTCGATCTCCTGACCTTGAGATCCACCTGCCTCCGCCTCCCAAAGCGCTGGGATTACAGGCTTAAGCTACCCCACCCAGCATTATTTATATTTTTGTATCTGCCTTACTTCATTTAGCATAAAGTCCTTCAGGCTCATCCATTTGTTGTTGTAAATGACAGGATTTCCTTCTTTTTTAAAGTTGAACAATATTCCATTGGGTGTATATACGTGTGTGCACGCACGCGCGTGTGTGTTTATCTGTTCTTTGGTCAATAGATACTTACATTGTTTCCATATCTTGACTACTGTGAATAATGTTGCAATGAACACGGGTGTGCAGATATCTCTTCAAAACACTGATTTCCTTTAACATTAATATCAAAATTAAGAATAAAACTACCAAATGATCCAGCAATCCCACTTGTATTCAGAAGTAGGATTGCTGGATCATTTGGTAGTTTTATTCTTAATTTTGATATTAATGTTTCTCTTATACAACTTCCGACATAGGTGCTAGTGATCCTTGCTTCTTGGTATTCAGGCAGTTGTGTAATCCTCTACCCTGAGTGTAGGCTAGGCCTAGGGGCTTTCTTGTAATAAGTAAAACACTGCAAAAGTGATGGGATGTCACTTCTAATGTTAGGTTGCAAAAAACTGACTTCCAATTTGCTAGCATGTTCTCTCTTGCCAGTCATCTTCTTGTCTGCTTGTTCTAATAAAGCAAGCTGCCACGTTATGAGATGCTCTACATAGAGGTCACATATCAAAGAAACGAAAGAAGCCTTTGACCAACACGTCGTGACAAACTGAATTCTCAAGTCCAATAACCTACAGGGAACTACTGAATCCTGACAATGGCTTCATAAGCCAGAAAGCTGACTCATTCCAGTCAAGCCTTAAGAATGCAGCCTGCAAAGGACCCAGAGCCAAAGGGCCCACATAAGCCACACCTGTCACTCAAATTGTCACAGAAACTGCCAAATAAAATGTTTTAAGCCAGTTAGTTAGGGGAAATATGTTACATTAAATACTAATTGTACATATCCAGATGCCAGGACCATCCCCAAAGGACCCAATATACAGGCCAGCCCCCACAGATGCAGGCATCAGGCCCACCTCCAGGAACTCAGGTTCCAGGTGCACCTTAGTACCAGATTGGTGCCTGTCAGCGTAGGCTCCAGGCCTTCCCCCTTGGGCCCACATACCAGGCCCATCCCAGCACCAGGCAGACCCCAGCAGACTTAGGCTCAAGTCTCACTACAGAGCCAGACCAGCTCCTATGGACATAAGCTCAAAGCCTACCCCTAAGAACCCAGGCACTAGGGACACACCTGCAGACCCAATCAACTTGGCTCACACCAGTAGACTCTGGTGTCAGGCCAGCCCCATAGGAGCCAGGATCCAGGGCCCCCAAGAAGACCCAAAGTCAATGTCTGCCCCAGTGAAATCAGGCTCCAGGCCCAAACTCATAAACCCAGACAATAGGCTAGCCTCTGGAACCCAGATATCAACCAAGGCCACCTGCTGACCCAGTCACAAGGCCACCTCCCAAAAAGGCACCAGCAATAAAGCCCACTAGAGACCCCACCAAAAGTCTCTGCACAGACTCATTAAGTAAATGGAATCCCTTGCCAAAGTCAGTCTATAAAGTCTGGAAAAAATGCCTACTTCTTCAAATGCAGAGAAACTAAGGCCATAAGGAACATAAATGATCAGGGAAACATGACATCACTAAGAGAATAAAAGAAAACACCAGCAACCAATCCCAAAGAAATGGAGATCTTCAAACTGACTAACAAAAAATACAAAACAATCATCTTAAACAAGTTCAGTGAGCTACAAGAGAATACAGTAATCCCATTTTACTCATGCAGGATACACCGCACAATCCCCAGTGGACGCCTGAAACCAAGGATAATATCAAACCCTACATATACTATGCAAAATTTTTCCCTTCCTCACAGATTCACAGATAAGAAACTTGTTCATATCATACAAATTAAAAATATCAGTACACATTTTTTTCTTTCCTTTTTGAGACTTTCACATTTTCACCTACAAGAAACACTTTATAGTTTCTCTTTGGCATTGCCAAACTGTCAGCATCACTACTCTGCACTTTGAAGACATTATTTTGTAAAATAAGGGTTACTTGAACAAAAGCACTATCAGGCTACTGAGACAGTGACCCTGATAACTGAGACGACTGCTAAGCAACTAATGGGTAGGTTGTGTCTATGGCATGGACATACTGGATAAAGAGATGATTCATGTCCCAGGAGGGATGAAGTGAGACCACGAAGAGTTCATCGCTCTACTCACAATGGCATGCAATTTAAATCTTATGAATTATTTATTTCTGGAATTTTTCATTTACTATTTTTATACTTCAATTGACCACAGGAAGCAGAAACCATAGAAAGCAAAACTGGGAAAGGACAGACTCCTATACAGACAACAAAATCAGAAAATTGTTACATGAACAAAACTAGAAATTCAACAGAGAGAGAAATGAA